CACTTCCGAAACGTGCTCCTACATGGGTCACATGAACGCGGCTCTATACCTGCTAGTGATTCATCTCTGCTTGGACCATCTGCTCCCTCACCTCTGCTGGGGCCTTGGTGCCTCGTCGCAACATCAGCAGCAGAATGTGTTTGATTTCTGCTGCACCAAAACGTACTGTACTACTGCTGAGCAGGTGAAGTAGGGTTTATATTTCTTATACCCCCAAAGGGACACCCAGTATATACACTCACAAATATTCAAAAGGAACCTTATATATATATATGCACTCACCAAAAACAATAACATAAGACCTGCTTCAATGTGGCTTCGGATCGATCGGTAGAACCTGCTGTGCGGTGCCCGGGCGTCAAGGGGGTTCGCTTGTCACAGCGCCATGTCTCCGGAAGGGGCTGGGACTTCGGACCATGCGCTGCTGCGCGTGGGGTTAGGGCTTAGGGTGTAGGGTTTAAGGCTTAGGGTTTAGGGTTTATTTAGGGTTTAGGGTGCAATTGGGGCGTGTGTGCCTGGATGTTGGGTTCCTTTGGTCGTGGCCTGCACGGTGCCGGGTTGCTGGACGGGTTGCCCCCTAAACCCCAAGCTGGATGTAGGGCTCGGGATCCCTAGCCCTAAGCCATAAACCCGAATACGGCTTAATCCCTTCCCCCTAATCTTAAAAACCACCCTTATAGTTCAATTACAGTATTAGGGGGGGGGGGGGGGGGGGGTATTTAACATTAGGGGGTGGGGTTTAAATTAGGGGGGCAGGGATTACTGGGGGTTGACTGGGATTGTTAGTAACCCTTACTAAACCCTAAACCCTATAAACCCTAAACCCTATAAACCCTAAAGCCTAAACCCTAAACCCTAGACCCTAAGCAGGGTTGAGCAGGGTTGGCTAGGGAAAACCAGGGCTTCGTGGGGGGCAGGTGTGGATCTTCTTTTCAGGGTTAGAAAGGACAGCTGTAGCTTCGTTGGGCGAACAAAGTTCTAAACACAGGCAGGCTTTAGGGTTTAGGGTTTAGGGTTCAGGGTTCAGGGTTCAGGGTTCAGGGTTCAGGGTTCAGAGTTCAGGGTTCAGGGTTCAGGGTTCAGGGCTTAGGGTTTAGGCCTTAGGGTTTAGGGCTTCGGGTTTGGGTTGAACCTTCAAGAAAGAGGGAAGACCAGGGGCCCCCGACACTCGCATCACACTGGCAAAGCCTTGGACAACACTCCTGTCAGGAGGGCCTTAACCCTCTAGGGTTTAGGGTCTAGGGTTTAGGGTTTAGGGTTTAGGGTTTAGGGTTTAGGGTTTAGGGTTTAGGGTTTAGGGTTGAAGAAAGCCTACACCTTACACCCCTATTAGGGTGCAGGGTCTATAGGAAGTGGCCCACTGTACTTCTGTCTGGGAGGTCCTCCGAATTATGGTCCCTCTTTGCGGATCCCATTATCATACGGGGCCTTTTTTTGTGATACCGGCTCGCATCCCCTGCATGTCCTTGAAATGGGACTCGGTCTTGTTCTCGAACTGAGCCATCATCGCGTCCTGCTTCTGGAGAATTTTCTTTTTCACGGTCGCTATGGTCCCAAGCTCTGCACCGTGAGCCGTTGTCTTGAAGTTCGCAAGGCGCATATTCTCAGCGCGGGCCTGCTGTGAGGGCCCTCTATTGCTACCATGCTTGGGCTCGGCGGCCTGGGGCTCAGCCTGTGGCACTTGTGGAACAAATGCTGGGGGCCATTGGGGCTGGCCCGACGGCGGTGGTGAGGCGCTGCTGAGAGCACGTACCCCCCCCCCCCCCCCCCCCCCCCCCCCCCCCCCCACCCCCCACCCCACCCCCCCTGTGGTGTGGGTTTGGGGTTGGGTCAAGGTTTGGGGTGCAAGGTTTGGCGTTGAGGGTCCCCCCACCCCACCCCCTCCACTGTGGTGTGGTTGGGGGGTTCAGGTTTAGGGTTTAAGGTTTAGGGTTTATACGGTTAGGGTTCAGAGTTTGAGGTTAGGGCACAGGGTTTACGGTTTCGGGTTTCGTTTTAGGGCTTAAAGCCCCAAAGTCTGACCCCCTCAAAATGCGCTGATATTACCCCTCAGCCCACCAAACACAGCCCTCGAGCTTTTGCCCTTGAAAACCCGAACAGACGCTGGGAACGACCCTCTGACACCGCAAATCCTAAACCCACTATTAGGGAACTCTCCCAGCGGGGCCATTGGTAGTACTGTACCATTATGGAACTCGGTACAAACCATACCTAGTTTGGTTTTTGGGTACTTAGGTCCATATTCGTACGGCATGTGGACCCTCTGGGTCTCAACTCTCAACTTATCCAGGGGCCCAGCGTGCGTTGCATGCGGTACTGTCCATTGACTTGAGGGTTTAGGGTTTAGGGTTTAGGGCTTAGGGTTTAGGGCTTAGGGGGTTTAGAGTTTAGGGGGTTTAGGGTTTAGGGTTTAGGGTTTATAGGGTTTAGGGTTTAGAGTTTAGGGGGTTTAGGGTTTAGGGTTTAGGGTTTAGGGTTTAGGGTTGAGGGTTTAGGGTTTAGGGTTGAGGGTTTAGGGATGAGGGCGGTCCTGTCCATGGACTTGAGGGCCCTCTCTGCCTGCGTGGCGCGCTGGAAGGCTGGGACCATGACGCGCTTATTGGGCTGTGCAGGTTTCGGTGCTTTGATAAGCTGGGAGTTGCTGAAAGGGTTTAGGGTTTAGGGTTTAGGGTTTAGGGTTTAGGGTTTAGGGTTTAGGGTTTAGGGTTGCTGAGGGTGATACTCCATCAGGGTGATATCGGGCGTATCTTCGCCGGAAATGGTCCTTGAGAAAGACCCCCGCACACAGTGACCCCCAAAACCCTTGGAATTCAACCCAGTACAAGACGAAGCTATCTTATATACCCAAAAACCTATAAAAGTCCCTAAACCCTCCTGCAACCCCAAAGCCGTTATGACTCCTTGTGCCTGGAACTGCTCAGCAAAGCACACGCGAGCCGTCCTCCCTCCTGCGGGTATGGTCTCTTTAGGGTTTAGGGTTTAGGGTTTAGGGTTTAGGGGTTACTGGATTAACCCTAAACGTTAAACCCTAAACCCTAAACCCTAAATCCTAAACCCTACATCCTAAACCCTAAACCCTAAACCCTACAGGATCCAGGCTGTGGGATGCACCCGAGAGGAAAAGTATCGGCTGGACTCCTGCTTCGGGGCTTGTAGGGTTTAGGGTTTAGGGTTTAGGGTTTAGGGTTTAGGGTTTAGGGTTTAGGGTTTAGGGTTTAGGGTTTAGGGTTTAGGTTTACCAAAACAACGGGACCCTGAATTGCGGGAACCGACGCATTCTTAGCTTGACTTGGGGCTTCAAAATCTTCGGGTCACAGCTGGACACCTCAACGCTAAAGCCTAAACCCTCAACCCTAAACACCAAAGGCCAAACCCCAATCCGCCCCAAGCTCCTATCTGGTGGTGGAGAGTTCGATTGGAGTTGAGGCCTTACCTAGAGGGAACTCTAAACCCTAAACCCTAAACCCCAAACCCCCAACCCTAAACCCCGAACCCTGAAAGCCTCTCTCTGAGAATCTGTTTTGAGGAGCCAGGAGCTGTGGCTTCGAGTCGTAGCCTTGGGACCTATACGCCCTCAGCTATAGCGTGCACGGTTTAGGGTTTAGGGTTTAGGGTTTAGGGTTTAGGGTTTGGGGTTTAGGGTTTAGGGTTTAGGGTTTAGGGTTTAGGGTTTAGGGCTCCGGGTTTTGCACCTTCAACATCTCGAAACCCTGCAAACCCAGCCCAGAACCTAATTCCTATAAGCCATTTAAACCCTGAAGACCACCCACCCTGTAATGTTCACGTTGCATTTGGGTGGTTGTCAAAAGTTTGGTCCGTTTTTGGATCCCTATCAGCTAGTATTTAGGGCACCCCAAAATGGATTATAATTTTGACAGCCACCCATTTATAAACGGGGCGAAAGTTATAACATTCGGCGGGCCCGGGTATCCCGGTCCAAGACTACTTTTTCCATTGTGGGAGGTTTCGGGCTGATATGTCTAAACAGAGCTATAACGGGGTCGGGTGAAAATAATGATGGGGTGACATTCATAAAACGCGGCTGGCCAGAAGTCTACATTTTGCTGCAGCTTGCTTAAGAGTTCCATTGCAGAGAAGCCCTTTTCATCCGAGCTGGCCAGAAACAGCTCCAGAAGCTACGGCAGAGGACAACAGATAGACAAAGTCGCGGTCGCAGAGCAAAAAGAGCTGCAGGGAGGAGGCAGAAGCCTTGAAAACAAGCCAAAGCAGACCCTTCTTGACAGGACCTCCAGACCACAGACCCCCAGACCCCTTAATTGCCACCCTCCAAATCCCGGGAAACCAAAACAAAATCTGGGCGGACCCGAAACCCTGAACTCTGAACCCTAAGCCCGACCGTTTTGGGGTGGCCTCCGTGGATGCGGCACCATTTCACCCGCTCGATGCGGGGCAAGACCGAACACACGTGGTTCACCAGGTCCTGGTTGGAGGATGGCCTTATATACCCAAAAACCCTATAAAAGTCCCCCAACCCTAAAACCCTAAACCCTCAACCCTAAACTCCGCCTACCTTCAGGGTTTAGGGTTTAGAGTTCAAGCTTTTTGGGGGGTTGTTTAGGAGTTTTTTTCGGATGTGCCCACTGAAAGCCCCTAAACCCTCAACTCCCTATACCCTCATCTCTACCTTCGGGGCTCAGGCTTTCGAGTCCAGGCGCTTTTGAGCCCAGAAGGACAAGGCTAGCCAGCGAGAGCGAACCTTAGACCCTAAGCCCTAAACCCTCAACCCTAAACCCTAAATCCGTAACCGGCAAACCCTGACCACTAGGCCCCTGAAGCCTAAACCCTAGAGCCTATAGACGCTATACACTTCAAAGCCTAGACCCTGAAGCCCGAACCTTTGCAACCCCAAGTCTCAAACCACACCTAAACCCTAAACCCTAAACCCTAAACCCTAAGCCCTAAGCCCTAAGCCCTAAACCCTAAACCCTACACACTAAACCCTAACTCAATCAGCCCCGCACAGCGCCCGCTTTTGCTTCTCACTTCAAGAGGTTGGCGAGCCAGGCCCCGAATTCGAAGGAGGCGACCGTGATGGCGACGAGCGTAAGGCACACTGGCACAGACGAGGGCCTGCAAAGCGGGAGGGTTTAGGGTTTAGGGTTTAGGGTTTAGGGTTTAGGGTTTAGGGTTTAGGGTTAGGGTTTAGGGTTTAGGGTTTAGGGTTTAGGGTTTAGGGTTTAGGGTTTCGGGGTTTGGGGTTGTTTAGGGTTTAGGACCTGCAAAGCTGGGGATCTGAGGGTAGTGCCAGGGGCCCTCAACATGGCCCCCTGCCTTCCTGTAGAGTCGAGTTCTGATGGATGGGCCCTCTAAACCCTAAACCCTAAACCCTAAACCCTAAACCCTGAACCCTAAACCCTAAACCCTAAACCCTAAACCCCGGTTGTCTTTTGTGTAGAAAAGGGGTGCATAAGGGGTACCCGTATGCTCCGCAGTCCTGGCCTGTCATAGTCGAGGAAGAAATAGATCCACACCCCAATCTTCGAGTAGAGCCACCAGTTCCAGTAGAGATAGGCCAAGCAAAAGTACACAGGGAAGACGCAATGCTCAAGATTCCTTGGCTTGCATCTAAGGGGTTGCTCTCTGACCCTAAACCCTAAACCCTAAACCCTAAACCCTAAACCCCAAACCCTAAACCCTAAACCCTAAACCCTAAACCCTAAACCCTAAACCCTAAACCCTAAACCCTAAACCCTAAGGGTTAATGAGCATTGTGGGTTGAGGGCTTAGGATGGTCTAGGCTCAGAGCTTCGATGCCCAACCCATGAGCCCTTGAGGGTTCCCAGTGCCGTTCCACCCTGCACTCATTAGGGTTTAGGGTTTAGGGTTTAGGGTTTAGGGTTTAGGGTTTAGGGTTTAGGGTTTAGGGTTTAGGGTTTAGGGTTTAGGGTTTAGGGTTTAGGGGCCCTTGTAAGGGACCCTAGGGGTTCCCCAACCCTAAACCCTAAACCCTGAACCCTAAACCCTTATAAGGGACCTTGCTTGGAGGTTCATGGTACTTACTAACCAATTCTAACGGTACTTGTAACCCACTTATAAGCCCCTTAAGTGCCCTAATAAGGTTATAAGTACAGTTTACGTGCCATGAACCTCCAAACAAGGGAGGGGTTATTTAAGGGGCTACTTCGGTATATAGGCACTATATAAGGTATAGTTTGGGGTTATACATAGGGGAATGATAAGATTAAGTGGGTCCCTCCTTCTACCCCTAAACCCTAAACCCTAAACCCTAAACCCTAAACCCTAAACCCTAAACCTTGAACTCCTTATCACACCGTTTGGGACCTAGGGCTTGCAGGGTTTGGGCTCTGCTGGCTCTGGGTGCTTAGGGCTTGGGGCTCTGGAGTTGGTGCTTGTAGGGTTTAGGGTTTAGGGCTTAGGGTTTAGGGTTTAGGGTTTAGGGTTTAGGGTTTGGGGTTTAGGGGCAAGTTATGGCCCGGAAGATGCGAACAGTCCTAAATCCAGGACGCACAGACACACATGTTCCGCCTCCAAGCCGCTGTGTATTTTATCATGCTCATTCTGAGCCCATTCTATACTTGAATGGCAGCCCATATGTACATAATTAGTAGGTATGCTGATGTGCGGCACTGGTGCCGCTTCTTGGCCCCTAGGGGGGGTTAGGGTTTAGGGCTTAGCGTTTAGGGTTTAGACCCTAAACCCTAAACCCCCAAGCCCCCTGTAACTTGAACTTATTAAGAAAAATCGAAAAGAAAAACAAACTCCTTGAAACTCCTCGAAACTTTCCTCGAAACTTCCCCGGACCTGAACCCTTAATCATTTCAATGAACCCTAAACCCTAAACCCGCAGGGAGTTTGGGCGCTTTCCGAATCCCTAAACCCCAAACCCTAAACCCTAAACCCTAAACCCATTTTAGGGAAGCTGCACTGTCCAGCGTGAGAAAACCAGCTCTGTGAGCATCAGCAGCACGTTGGCGTTGTGAAAATAGAACGGAAGCGGCGTCAGCCTCACCACAAACCTTGAACCCTGAACCCCAAAAAAACCCAAACCCCAAAACCGACTACTGTACCCCAAGCCCTAAACCCTCAACCCTACAACTATACCCTAAACAATCCTAAACTCCATTCTTCCCGGGACCCAAGAATTTAGGTCACTAGAACATTTGAGGAGATCACATGGAGGTTCCTGGAAGCATATCAAAGTGAGGGTACCTAGAAACAAAAAACAAAGTCAAAGTGCACCCCCTAAACCCTAAACACTAAACCGTCAGGACAGGGTTTAAGGTTTTTTTTTAAGGTTTCGGGTTTGGGTTTAGGGTTGACACTTTAGGGGTTATAGGGTTTAGGGCTTAGGGATTCTCCAGGTCCTTAGTACCCCGAAAGCGTTAAACAGCCCAAAATAGGCCAACCGCCATCTGGGCATTTCCCAAAATAGGGGTACCCGTTTAAGGACCCTGAACCCTAAACCCTAAACCCTAAACCATATTTTTCGGAAACCCCCATCTACAGAAGCAACCCCCTTGCAGCCGTGGCACAGCTCATCCACCACCCACTGGTGCCTCGGATGGCATCATAGACCCAAAGAGCAACAAGGGTTTAGGGTTTAGGGTTTAGGGTTTAGGGTTTAGGGTTTAGCGTAACCCAAGACAAACCCAGGCATGAAAAAATGCCGTTTTTGGTTTGAAGGGGCTTCTCAAGGAAACTAAACCCTAAACAAAGGGAATACGGGCCTACTCTGTGTCCTAGCATTCGTTTTTTCTTACTTCTCTAAACCAGGCACCAAACGCCACTCGCCAGCTCCATAAACCCTAAACCCTAGACCCAGACCCTCGATCCTATACCCTAGAGCCCGGACCCTAGACCCTAAACCCTCAACCCTTCTCTTAACCAGCTCAGGTCTGCCAGGGTTCAGGTGCGTTTCGTACGGTTTGGGACTTAGGACTCTCTGACACCCTAGACCCTAAACCCTAAAAGCACCGAACCTCAATTGACTAAAGGAGGGACCCTTATAAGGGACCTGAGGGGTTCTTTGGAGGTTCTTTAGGGGCTACTTCGGTACATAGGGACTAGAACCAGGGATATATACGGGTCATATAGAGGCGATATAGATTAAGGCTCCCTTCTAGGGGTCCCTCCTTATGCCCCTGAACCCTAAACCCTAAACCCTAAACCCTAAACCCTAAACCCTAAACCCTAAACCCTAAACCCCCAAACCCCCAAACCCTACGCAGCTTAGGGCGCTCGTTAGGCTTTATAGGGGGGCAAGTGCATTTCAGGGATTGGAACCCCAAGCTCCGGAGGCCTTTGGGGTTTAGGGTTTAGGGTTTAGGGTTTAGGGTTTAGGGTTTAGGGTTTAGGGTCAACCCTAAAACCTAAACCCTGAACAGCATTGGAGCATCCTCAAGAGGGAGCTGAAGTCTTTTGCTTCCAAAGCGTGAACGATGGCCACCCTTCAGGTCTAGGGTTTAGAGACCCTAAACCCTAAACCCTAAACCCTAAATTTAAACCCTAAGCCAGACTCAGACCTAAACTCTGAACCCTAAACCCTAAGAAGCCAGAATTTCCTGCGAGGAGCCCCGCATACCACGCGAAGGGCAGCAGGAACAGCCAGACCGCCCAGAAGACTAGCCTTGGTTTAGGGTTTAGGGTTTAGGGTTTAGGGTTTAGGGTTTAGGGTTTAGGGTTTAGGGTTTAGGGTTTAGGGTTTAGGGTTTAGGGTTTAGGGTTTAGGGTTTGGGGTTTAGGGTTTAGGGTTTAGGGTTTAGGGTTTAGGGTTTAGGGTTTAGGGTTTATAAGGGTTTAGGGTTTAGGTTTGGGGTTTAATCCGAGCATCAGGTTAATTAATACCCCCACATTTAAAGAATTTTTTTTTGGCCGGAAGCCCGCCGGAAGACTACTTTCCATTAGGTTGGATTAAAAACAAAATCGTGTGCACGAATCGTTTCAAGGGCTAGCAACCATGGGTGTAGGAGGCATGTGCTCCCAAAAGCACCAATTAAGAATATGGGGGCACAGGGAAAACCACGTTTGGGAGAAAACCCTGTGCTCCACACTGCAGAAGTGCCGTCGTGTAGCACCCCGAAAGAATGACGTGTGATCCTCATGGAGTCGTGATCCGCGAACCATCCAGCGGCGGACCCCTTGAAACAACAGCCCCCGACCCCAGACCCGAACCCCGGAACCCAAGCCCAGAACCCGGCCCGATTTCGTATGGGACAAACCCCCACATTTAAAGGAATTTTTTTGGGGGGGTTCAAACATCTGTCGGCAGGCTTCTTGTTTTGCTTGCGGAGATGCGAAGCTACAGCACCTCAGGGATCTGCAGCCTATTGTTTTTAATAGAGAATCAATACAGGGCCATGGTCCAACTATTGCGGAACCCTGCCTTTCTTATTGTGGGGGGGGGGGGGGGGGGGGCCCCCGCCAATTAAACAGAAGCTCGGATTAGGGCTTGGGGCTTTTAGGGTTTAGGGTTTAGGGTTTTGGGTTTAGGGTTTAGGGTTTAGGGTTTAGGGTGTCTCAGTGTATGCGCACGGGGAGTGCGCCTTCTCTTGAGATTTAGGGGCGCGCTCCCTATCGCGCGCTTGCATAGCTTGGCAAACCAAACCCGAATTCTAGGGATTAAGGTTTGCAGGTTGTAGGAAGGGGTGTAGGGTTTTAAGTTTAGGGTGTAGGGTTTAAGGTTTAGGGTTTAGGGTTTGGGGTTGGGTGTCTGGTGTTACGGTTAAGGGGCTTCGGGCTCAGGAGTTATGCGCTTTACGGTCGAGGCCTCCGAACTGAAACATTGAAACTATTCAGATACCCTCTACCGGCAGAGCTTCTGCGTGCTAACTTTCCTCCTTCAGCTTACTACACTTGGCTGAAGAACTAACCATTCATCTCGTGAAACACTTCGTGCTGGAACAAATAGACACCGAACGCCAACCGTCACAAAAAGGAACTCTCCCTAAACCCTAAACCCTAAACCCTAAACCCTAAACCCTAAACCCTAAACCCTATTCCATTAGACTCTCATGCCGTGACAAGAAGGAGCCCGGAGCCCTAGACTCTATGCGGTACGGTCTTTATTGCTAGTACCGCAGACTCGAGGTCGAGGATCATATGAAGTAGGGATTATATTTCTTGTACCCCCAAAAGGACACCAAATATATATATATATATACTGACCAAAATGAAGAGGGAAAAAAAAAATATATATATATATACTGACCAACATGAAGAGGGAAAAAAAAAATATATATATATATATATACACTCACCAAGAACAGTAATATAAACCCTGCTTCATATGACCCCTTGGTTCTTAGTAGGGAATGAGGGAATTAGGGCTTCATGTACTCCCTTAAAGGGCAGAAACAGGGCCCCTCCTTCCCTCATTCCCTGCGAAGAGCCAGCCAGATGAAGGTGAGACAGCTCCCAGACTCGATGGGGTAGAGTTTTCTTCTGCTAGTGTTTTAGGGTTTAGGGTTTAGGGTTTAGGGTTTAAGGTTTAGGGTTTAGGGTTTAGGGTTTAGGGTACCCTCAAAAAGGGCACTCCGCACATAAACTCGCCAACATGTATAACCATACATGCAAAACGCACACATCACCAGTAACAGAAGCCTTATATACATACTAGAACCGAGACCCCTATGAAAGGCCCGTAGGTTTGCCATAAACCCTAAACACTAAACCCTAAATCCTAAACCCTAAACCCTATATAAGGAGAAGAATGCCCTCGCTGTCTGCGTTCAAGGAGCCATGCCGTGCCAAAGGCCTGGGGTTTAGGGTTTGGGGCTTAGGGTTTAGGGTTTAGGGTTTAGGGTTTAGGACGTAGGCACGCTACCCCCCAAGCCGTACGAATTGGGTTTTTTGCGGGGTGCAGGCAAGGGGTTCGGAGTTGGAATGAGACCTTACTATATCCCCCCCCCCCCCCGCCCATATCTAACCTCTAAAGGATTGCATCGGGTACTGGACCTCATTCCCTCGTTCCCTACTAAGACCCAGGAGGTCCGAAAAGGGTTTAAAGAGAACGCCTTGTTTCGGGGTAATTATGTGGGAGCCTGTGGGGAACGACGCCTACCTCGGAGTGAGCCGCAGACCCGTGGTCAATTTGTTTAGGGTTTAGGGTTTAGGGTTTAGGGTTTAGGGTTTAGGGTTTAGGGTTTAGGGTTAAGGGTTAATTAGGGTTTAGGGCTTAGGGTTTAGGGTTTAGGGTTTAGGGCAAGCGTGTCTTTAGGGTTGAAGATGTGTAGGATTAGGGTTTAGGGATTTTGTAGGGTTTGGGATTCTTCCAAGCACGTAGACCTGCGGAACCATTTGCCTACCGTTTTTTTGGGTGGCAGAAAAACCCCCAGGAGAAAACAAAAAACACAGTTTTTTTGCGGTATGTCAAAGTACGGGCAAATTGCGGTGTTTATGGGCAAAATGACGGGTAAATCACGGGCAAAATTCCAGACAACCCAGAAGTTCTAGAAATTCCAGGAAATTCTTTCCAAACTAAGAAAACGCAGGTTTCCCATTCCGACCCCAAAAAAACGGTAGGCAAAAGGTTGTAACAGGGAGGCCTACAGGGTGGAATATGTGCCCTTGTCAGGCTACAGACAGGCCACCACCTCAGACCCTGCTGACTCGCCACCACTCCTAAACCCTAAACCCTAAACCCTAAACCCTAAACCCTAAACCCTAAACCCTAAACCCTAAACCCTAAACCCTAATGGATCAAGGGAGGGACCCTTGTCAGGGACCTCAGACGCTATGTAAGGGGGCATTTAGGGGGGGGCTACTTCGGTATACGGGGACTATAAGGTATTTCTAGGGGTGGTATAGGGGAATAATATTCAGGGTCCCGTCTAGGGGTCCCTAAACCCTAAACCCTGAACCCTAAACCCACGCCCTACACCCTACACCCTACACCCTAAACCCTAAACCCTAAACCCTAAACCCTAAACCTGCGACCACCTTCAGCTTCTGGGCCCCCGCGCGATGTCGAAGATAATCCACAGGCCACCCGCGACGCACGCCGGGGGGACCCAACCGAAGGCCACGTACATGATGCTGAGACCTCTCAGAGGGTTTAGGGTTTAGGGTTTAGGGTTTAGGGTTTAGGGTTTAGGGTTTAGGGTTTAGGTTCAGGGCTTAGGGTTTAGGGTTTAGGCACACCTCCTTCCCCCAAAGGGGTACGCCCCAACCAGCCCTATAGGCATGCTGGAAGCTGAAAAACCCAAAACCCTGAACACTAAATACTATACAGTTTGAGGCAAACCCAACGCCCTCTGTCCCCCCTTAGCAAGAAGCCAGCAAATCCCCTGTACTCAAAGCCCTAAGCCCTAAGCCCTAAGCCCTGAGCCCTAAACCTTAAACCCTGAAACCTAAACCCTCAACCCTAAACCCTAAACCCTAAACCTTAAACCCTAAACCCTAAACCCTAAACCCTAAACCCTAAACGCTACCCCCCCCCCCCCCCCCCCCCCCCCCCCATGCAGCAAGGTTGGAGAGCTTCTTAGGGGTTCGGTTTCAGGGCTTTCGGGCCTTGGGTTGAAACCCTCAACCCTAAACCCTAAACCCTAAAACCCTAAACCCTAAAACCCTAAACCCTAAAACCCTAAATCCTATAGACCCTAAACCCTAAACCCTCCCTAAACCCTAAACCCTCCCTAAACCCTCCCTAAACCCTAAAACCCTAAAACCCTAAACCCTAAACCCTAAACCCTAAACTCTAAACTCTAAACCCTACTGTTTTGGAGGCTTCCAGGTTCACTCTCGGGGTGTAGACAAGCAGCCGGTGGCGAGGAAGAAGTACATTGCCTTCCAGCACCAGGTCCTGTTCGCCCACCCCAAACCCCAAACCCTGAACCCTAAACCCTACACCTCAAACCCTGAAAGCCCTAAATCCTAAACCCTAAACCCTAAACCCTAAACCCCAAACCCTAAACCCTAAACCCTGAAAGCCCTAAACCCTAAACCCTGAAAGCCCTAAACGCCCGTCTCGGGATTTCAGGTCGGCTGAGGGACTTGAGGTCGGCTTCGGGATTTGGATGTTGAGGGGGTATCCTGGGACTCCGTCTAACTACAGTTTCGGGGGGTGGGCTTAGGGTTTTAGGGTTTTAGAGTTTTAGGATGTTAGGGGTTTAGGGTTTTAGGGTTTTAGGGCGTTAGGGTGTTAGGGTTTTAGGGTTTTAGGGTTTAGGGTTTTAGGGTTTAAGGGTTTAGGGTTCAGGGTTTGGGGTTTGGGGTTTGGGGCTTAGAGTTTTCCCTTAATTAGTAGTAGAATCCAGAACGCTGTAGGTAAAGAGGGTCCCGGGCTAGTCGGTCACTTCCTCTTTCTCGTGCAGGTCGGCGTTTGCAGCCTTTCGCTTGTCTTGCCGACTCCGAACGCTTGCTGTGAGGAGGCCGCTGCTGTAATCTGCTGGTCGCTGAACCGGTCCTTGTCGGCAAGCAAGACCACATACGAGCAGAGCTTGTTCGTCAAGGAGGACGTGCTGTTTGAAGCCCAGCTGTGATCGCTATCTCCACGGGTAGGGGGTTCATGGTTTCGGGCTTACGGATTTCGGGATTTGGGGGGGTGTGGGGTTGAGGGGTTTAGGGTTTAGGAGTTTGGGGTTTAGGGTTCAGGGTTTAGGGTTTAGGGTTTAGGGTTTAGGGTTTAGGGTTTAGGATCCGCCGACCCTGGCGGCGTGTTGGGAAAAGGAGGTGAAAACCCTCCTTACCCCCCCAAAACGCGGCCAGACCACCCACACAGGACCCCCCCCTCCCCCCCCCTTCCCCCCCCCCCCCCCCCCTACCCCCCCTACCAATTGATGGGGCTGCCCTGGCCTTCAAGCTGGCTTCAGCTCCTGTTTGGGTCCCAACGTTTCACAGAGGCTCAAGCACATCAACTTTTTTGGCATCCTTTGAGCTGACAAACGCTTTAAACCTTTCAACTATGCTCCAGCGGGGTCGGCGGCTTGAGCCGGAGGCTCTTAAATTATTGGGAACCCCATACCGGCCCCTACAATTTCTCCCTAAATACCCGAAACTCTCAACCAGTTAACGCTCAACCCTAAACCCTAAACCCTAAACCCTAAACCCTAAACCCTAAACCCTAAACCCTAAACCCTAAACCCTAAACCCTAAGCCCTCAGCCCTAAGCCCTAAGCCCTAAGCCGCTTCGCAGCTGCGGTCCAGAGCGTGCAGAAGATCAGAAGCACTTCGAAGCCTCCCATGAACAGCTCCTCGCCTTCCTCCTGCGCCAAGGAGCTCAAGCCCTAAACCCTAAACCCTAAACCCTAAACCCTAGACCCTAGACCCTCGACCCTAGACCCTAAACCCTAAACCCTAAACCTTTTCTAAATACGACACTTTGGAAGCCAATTACCGAGATCGCTCTTAAGAGCAAGCTACTCGAGTGCCATGGCCCAAACTTTACCCTACCCTAAACCCTGAACTCCAACCCAAAGCCCTAAACCCAACCCCCCAAAAAATGGGCCCTAGATGGCCCCCAAACCCGCATAAACCGGCCCTAAACCCTCAACCCTCAACCCCAAACCCAAAACCCGAATGGTCGGAAGCACCTTCCGCTTCTGTCGATAGAAAGCCACGGCGCCAGCCAAGGGCACACAGGTCAGCAGCAGTGCGACCTCTGCTTGTGGGTTTGCAAGCTTTAGGGCTTAGGGCTTCGGGTTCAGGCTTTAGGGTTTAGGGCTTATGGCCTATGGCTTAGGGCTTCGGGCGCAGCATATCAAGTCAAAAGCGCTCACTAGTCAAGCAGCTGTCAAGCGACGGAGACATACCCACCCGCCCCAGTGGGTCCCACGTCATGAGAAAACTAAGTCACTTTACAAGCCAGCCAAAACCTTACTAAGCCCTAAGCCCTAAACCCTAAACCCTAAACCCTAAACCCCAAACCCCAAACCCTAAACCCTAAACTGGCCGGACAGTCGGTGATTCTGTTGGGCAAACAGGGAGGCGAAGGAGGCGAAGCGTACCGGCTGGGTAATGATCATGGGTTCCCTCCTTCCCCCCCTCTGTACATGCCCCCCTAGGTTCCCCCCCGCCCCCCCCTAATTCAAGCTATTCAGGGATGACGAAGCCTAATCAAGGTTCTACAAGGGAGGACCTCGGGGGTAGTATAGATGGGGGTAGTAGGGAAAACCATGAAATGGGCCCTGCTGGCCAAGCAATTTGGGGACCAAATGAAGCCTAAACAGTTTTCTGGTTCATCTACGACAAAAATCTGGTTCATATACCACAAAAAATAAGTCTAAACAGTTTTCTGGTTCATCTACCACAAAAATCTGGTTCATATACCACAAACAAAAAGTCTAAACAGTTTTCTGGTTCATCTACCACAAAAATAGCAGTATAGACTAGAATGGCCCAAGTTCATGGCAGGGCAACGCGCAACCTTGCCTGACCGCCGACCTGACCTGCCAGAACCAAGGGTCCCTTCTATAGGGGGGGGTTTAGGGTTTAGGGCTTAAGGTTTTTAGGGTTTTTAGGGTTTAGGGTTTAGGGTTTAGGGTTTAGGGTTTAGGGTTCGTAAGCCCTGAATCCTAAAACATCGTAAACCTTAGTAAGCCCTGAATCCTAAAACATCCGAAAGGCCGGAACCCGTGGACTGTTCAGACCCGATGTGAGGTACCCCCCTTGGAGGTTAGGGTTTAAGGTTTGGGTTTGAGGGGGCTAAGGGGGGTTTTAGGGGCGTTTAGGGTTTAGGATTAGGGGTTTAGGGGGTGAAGGGGGTCTAGCGGGTCGAGGTGGTTTAGGGGTCTAGGGGTACATGGTTCAGGGATCAAGCCCAAGTCGCAGAAAAAGGTCTAGATTATGGCGTTGTGTTGTAGGGTTATGGGATACCCCAAACACTGAAATCCTGACCTGTCCAGGCATTGAGCTAAGGTATCGGTGATTGAGAGCCATGACCCCTGATTGCCCGATCCTCGTAAGGTAAACGCGTAGGTTGAGGTACTTACGACTTCTGCACGAGTGTGCAGTCCAGGCCCTATGGCATTGTGGCTTAACTCGGCAGGGTTCCGGTATCCGTGGACAACCCTAAACCCTAAACCCTAAACCCTATACCCGAATTAAACCCCAAACCCTAAACCCTAAACCCTAACCCGTAACCCCGTCACCCGTAACCCCTAAACCCTAAACCCTAAACCCTAAACCCTAAACCCTAAACCCTAAACCCTGAACCTAGAACCCCGGCTACACTGTTTGCAGGCCCAGCTGCCGCGCGGTACGCGAGAAGGCTCCCAGGCCCAGGCAAAATCGGTGACGCCTCCACTGCCGTCCTTCTTGGAGGTTGATGGTACTTATGAACCAATTATAACTGTACTTATCACCCACTTATAAGCCCCTTAAGTGCCCCAATATGGTTGTAAGTACAGCTATAAGTATAGTTATACTTGGTTTAACCTCCAAGTTCCGCAAAAAAGTTTAAGTTTGGTTTATTGAAAGGCTCAGAGTTAGAAGATTGTGCGTCGAAGGCTTGTTCGGGCTTTTAGGTGTAGGGTGTAGGGTGCACAAAGCTCAAAGCCCACAAAACCCATCCAAACCCACAAGCCCTACCTATAAACCTTGGGCCAAGACAGCCTAACCTTATGGGTTTAGGGTTTAGGTTGCCTGAAATGCGCCGAACCAAAACCCCCTGACGCCTTGTAAGAACTCTCAAAACCTAAACACGCCCAGTAGTGCTAAACCCGGAGCTAGTTCATGGTCGGGATAATATTAAATATCCAATGTGTTATTCCTTATTGGGTTTAAGTACCCTTACACATGTAAAATGTTACCCAACTATGACAAAGGGAGGGGCTTGGCAGCATCTGTTTCCAGCTCTGTGCGAGGGAACCCCAGGGACGGAATCCGACCCGAGGGCCGTTTTTGAAGGTGCCCAGCCGGGTCGCAGTTTAGGGTTTAGGGTTTAGGGTTTAGGGTTTAGGGTTTAGGGCTTAGGGCTTAGGGTTTAGGGTTTCCATCCGGGTCTCAGGGTACTGGGGTACTAAGCTATCTGGGCATTAGGCTATTGGGGTATTCGGAATTATAGGGTGTAAGGGGATTAGGGTTCAAGGTTGAAGGTATTACCCCAGATCCTGACCCCTTAAGCTTTCTAAGAATGACCCAATGGTAGTATAGGGTACTATTTGGGGGCTCCATTTTTTGGATCCTCCCAGGGGTCTGGGACGGCATTAGCGTATGAGGGTACTGGGGTATTGGGGTATCAGGGCCTCCTGCTATTTTGCATTACAGGGCATCCTTTCGCCAAACACAGGAGGGGCTTGGCCACCCCAAACCCTAAACCCTAAACCCTAAACCCTAAACCCTAAACCTTAAACCCTAAACCCTAAACCCCAGGCCCTACACCCTAAACCCGGGCCCTACATTAAACCCAAGGGCCCCAAACCCTAAACCCTGTGGCCCTCTACCCTACACCCCCACGGCTCGAAAGCCCCAAAGCCCCAAAGCCCCGATGCCCTAAACCCTAAACCTTAAACCCTAAACCCTAAACCCTAAACCCTAAACCTTAAACCCTAAACCCTAAACCCTAAACCCTAAACCCTAAACCCTAAACCCTAAACCTCTCCAGAGGAGGCCACGGGTCCTTCCATCGAGCTGTCCGAAGCCCAAAGAGCCCTGGTAGGAATAGTGCACGTTGAGCCCAACGCTGACCGCCTCGGTGGCGATTCTTGGGGTTTAGGGTTTGGGGTTTGGGGCTTGGGGTTTGGGGTTTGGGGTTTGGGGTTTGGGGTTTGAGGTTTAGGGTTGACCAACCCTCCCTCCCTCCTCTCGAAACCTGAACCCTCCGTTCTTGACCTAAATGCTTATGCCTCAAAATGAATTCTATGGCCATCAACCCTATAAAACCCGAGTGAGCTATAAGCCTGTACACCCTATGAGCTCGAAAACCAACATAAGCGCTTGAACTATCACTTTGACACACAAAAGGCGTGTCGCATCCGACCAGCGTCGCTTCAAAGCAGCCCAGGCGTCCACGTCGGGCTTTGAACCACCCTAATTACACGGAGATCATGGGCTTCCGCCCTAAACCCTAAACCCTAACCCCTAACCCCTAACCCCTAACCCCTAAACCCTAAACCCTAAACCCTAAACCCTAAACCCTAAACCCTAAACCCTAAACCCTAAACCCTTGCATTGCACAGCCCCACACGCGGCCCACGGGCAGCCTTTGAGTCGCTCCAAGTCGCGCACGAAGCCCAGGTTCAACCCGCCTTTTAGGATTTAGGATTTAGGGTTTAGGGTTTAGGGTTTAGGGTTTCGGGTTTAGGATCACCTTTGCCGGTTGCTGGGCTGTGGGAACCCAGCAATTCGGATGAACTCTGTGCCATCTTCTTGCGCTGGGAGGCGCGCTTCTGTGCCAGCACCCATGCCTTGTTGAAGCGTTCCATGAGGGGCTCTTCTGCAAACTCCAGAAAGAAGCCCATCACGAAACCCTATGAAAACCTTTAACCCACCAAAACCCCGAAATCCTATAAACAAAACTATACCAGCCCCACCAAAGACCTGTAAACAACCTATAGAAAACCCATTAGGGCCCTATAGAAAACCCTCTTACGCATGTAGTTCAAGTCCTAGAACCCTTCATCCGCGTCCTATAACCATATTAGGCACTTAAGGGGCTTCTAGGCGGGCTACAAGTACAGATATTATAACTGGTGCTAATAAGTACCATGAACCACCAAGTAGGGTTTGGGGGTTGGGGGTTTAGGGTTTAGGGTTTAGGGTTTTTCGGCTTCCATCCGAGGTTTTGTGGGCTTAAGCGGGGTGTAAAAGCCCCAAAGGATTTAGGGTTGTAGGGTTTCAGGTTCGGGGTTTAGGGTTTTAGGGCTTTAGGGTTTCGGGTTTAGGGTTTTAGGGCGTAGGGTTTAGGGTTTTAGGGTTTAGGGCTTAGGGTTTAGAGCTTAGGGCTTAGGGTTTAGGGTTTAGGGCGAACTTCGGGGCTTGTGGCTCGGAACTGGGCGCCCAGCTAGAATCAATACCGTCCAACAGAGAGTCGGCTTGTAGCCGTAGAGGATCTTGGCGCCGGGGAAAGCTGAAGAACCCCTAAACCCTAAAAACCCTAAACCCTAAAAAAAACTAAAGACATTAAAAACCCTAAAAACCCTAAAAACCCTAAAACCCTAAAAACCCTAAAAACCCTAAAAACCCTAAAAACCCTAAAACCCCTAAAAACCCTAAAAACCCTAAACGCCCTAAAAACCCTAAGACCCTAAACCCTATACACCCTATCTCCTAAAGACCTAAACACATCGAAACACTAACCCATGCCATCCTACTCAACGAAACCTAGCGGCCTAAACCTGGCGCAAGCAAAAGCCCCCAACCCTAAAGCTGCTCCAAAACCTTAAGACCCTAAATCCCTAAAGGCCTGAACCCCAAACCCTAAACCCTAAACCCTAAACCCTAAACCCTAAACCCTAAACCCTAAACCCTAAACCCTAAACCCTAAACCCTAAACCCTAAACCCAAGGGACTCTACGTTGGACCCCGACGGCTGTACCCTTGGGGCTTGGGGACCCGTTTTAAGGATCCCAAGGGAATAAAAGGGGAATAGTAGGAGCATGTTGAGGGCTTAGGGTTTAGGGTTTAGGGTTTAGGGTTTAGGGTTTAGGGTTTAGGGTTTAGGGTTTAAGGTACAGCCTTGAAGGGGTATGACAAGCCTAAGCCCTAATTGGGCCTTTAGGGTTAAGAGCCCAAGAAAGTACATCCGCAACCGGTCCAGGGTTTGGGTTTAGGGTTTAGGGTTTAGGGTTTAGGGTTTAGGGTTTAGGGTTTAGGGTTTAGGGTTTAGGGTTTAGGGTTTAGGGTTTAGGGTTTAGGGTTTAGGGTTTAGGGTTTAGGGTTTAGGGTTTAGAGTGAGTGGCTTCGGACACCATGACCCCCAGTACTTCAGGAATAGCCTAGCCCTAAACTCTAAGCCGGTTTAGGATGTAGGGCATAAGGGTTGAGGGTTAGGGTTTTGGCGTTTAGGGTTGTAGGGATGAGGGTTTAAGGTTTAGGGTCTATGTGTGGGTCTAGATGCTGCAGCCTAAGTGGAGTAAGAAATACAGCGGCCCTATTATTCTTATCAATACTATGATATTTATATCTATGTTGCATACAATACTATACATTATGGTATACCACTTCTGCATGGAAAAGCAAGCAAGCTTGTCATTGTGGCCGAGTGTCGCCGTGGCAGCGGCCTGGGACGATGGCCTCCGACTTCTCTTGGCTTGTCCTTACTTATGTGCCCTAAACCCTAAACCCTAAACCCTAAACCCTTAACCCTAAACCCTGAACCCTGAACCCTGAACCCTAAACCCTGAACCCTGAACCCTGAACCCTGAACCAACTAAACCTCGCTATGCCCTAAACCTTCAAACTCCCCAAGCGCGAGACATGTTGAGACACATCCTAGCAAAGGTCGGACAAGCCGCGCCACCCTGCTGGCCCCTCCACTTCCCATACTTGGAGGTTTAGGGTTCAGGGCTTAGGGTTTAGGGTTTGGGTTTTAGGGTTTAGGGTTTAGGGTTTACGGGTACTTATTAGCCAATTATAACTGTACTCATGACCCACTTACAAGCCCCTTCAGTGCCCTGATATGGCTATTCGTACAGTTATAGGTACGGTTATACTTGGTTAACAGGTACGAGAACCATGAACCTCCAAGCACTTCCCAAGCCCCAAGTCCTGACCACGCCACTCTCCATCCCACCTAGGTTGACCCCTTAACGCCCTTTGAACTCCTAAACAGGAAATAGGCAACTGGGGACGAAAGCTCAAGTTCTGGGTTTACCGTGGGTTTAGGGTTTAGGGGCTTTTGGTGCGTTGCGCTTTCATGGGTTGAGGACATCAGGCTTCAATAGTTTGGGAGGCTGGCAGAGAACTAGGCCCCAGCGGGGGTGCGGATGATGGCTTCGGGCTTCGGAGTTTGAATCTAAAGGGTTTAGTCTTAGAAGTTTAAGCCTACTGGGCCTCTTCCATAGGGTTATACAATGTTAAGCCTATAGCATTTAGAAGTTTAGAGGTTAGAACGGTTAGAACGGTTAGAAGTTAGAAGTTAGAAGTCGAGGTTGTATAGGGTTCAGACGTTGAAGGCGCAACCTGTGAATAGCCTCAGGGATGAAACTTCAGCATGACAAAGCAACTGAGCGCTTTTGTCCAAAGCCGTAGGGTTTAGGTTTAGGGTTTAGGGTTTAGGGTTTAGGGTTTAGGGTTTAGGGTTTAGGGTTTAGGGTTTAGAGGGTAACAAAAAACAAACAGAGCATCACAGAAATAATGAAGTCTGTCTAGGGCTTAGGGTTTAGGATTGGGATTCACTGAAAGGCTATAGAAAAGGGGGATGTAAGGTACCTTTAGTTCCCCTCATTCCTTATACTAATAAGAACCAGTTGGATGACTACAGAAAGTCACAGTACCCTAAACCCTAAACCCTAAACCCTAAACTCCGTCGTCCATACCTGCCAGCGTGTGAGAATCCTCGTGCCGATGGCAGAGCATTCTTAAGCGGCAGCATCGGTGGCCCCCAAGACAGAGCTAGGCATGTTGGGTTTAGGGTTTAGGGTTTAGGGTTTAGGGTTTTGGGTTTTGGGTTTTGGGTTTAGGGTTACGTTTCGGCTTGAGGCTTATACAAGGAGTAGCCCCTGGCTATCAGTAGGGCTACTTGGGCCCAGGCCCGAAGTTCGGTTGCAAGTAGTGTGGTTGGTACAACAAAGCGGCGGCAAAGGCCGCAAGAGTCCCTGAATCGCCCCTAATTCGACCCCCGAATCCCCAAACCCCAAACCTTCAACACTATAAACCCTAAACCCTAAACCCCCTCACCCCCCCCCAAACCCCTAAACCCCTAAAGCCTAAACCCCTTCAAGCCCTTAAACCCCTAAACCCCTAAACCCTTGAACCCTTAAACCCTTAAACCCGTAAACCCTTAAACCCTTAAACCCCTAAACACCAAACGCTTCTTAGCTCACTCCTCCAAGTGGCGGGGCAGCGGAATCTTCGGCCTGCACTTTGCCAATTTTGAGATGGTTATCTGGTTCTTAAGGGTTAAGGGTTAAGGGTTAAGGGTTTAGGGTTTTGGGTTTTGGG